CTTCAAGGCCCTCCCTTGGGGTCCTCTACAATAATTATAAGCCAAAATTTGATTCTAGGGGCGTCGATTTTCATCTTCCCTTAGTACCTTAACGAAGTTTCCCCACAAGAAGCGAGCAACAAGCAAGCGTTGATTACAGCTATCATCTATGGTTGTTCCCGTATCATTTCTCTTGGGGACTTAGAATGTCATGTTGACTCGATGTCAGGTAGGTGTCAGGTTGTAATCGATGCGAAGGACTATCCTAGACGCTATTAATAGCTCTTAGCATAGGGTACTGTACCACATTACTTGATTGATTTTGAAAATACTCTGTATTGGAAGCTAAATTTATATTATTTGCTAATACTAGTCCCATCGAAGTGTGTCACTTTTGTTAATGTACTACCGCAACATTACCAATAAGTATGATAATGATTTGTAATACGATCTAAATCCAATAAACAACTATTCATACGAATGTAAATTAAATTTTGTCCAGTGTATCCACAGTTTCCACCACTAGCATAGATGAAGGTCCCACGATTAAAATCAGCCGACGGTACGAAACCAGGTTTGTCCATCTCGATGTGTAATCATTAGTCATAATCTCGATGTGTCATAATTGTTAACCCCTCTTAAAATGATAAAGGGTGGGACCTCTCCAATAGGTTTTCGGAGTACTATCAACCTACCACAACATGGTTCCAATGTGGAAAAAATGAGACTCCACAACTATTGAGTTGCATGCCGTTTATTATAAAGTATTCGAATAATGATTTTTTTTTTAATTCGGAAACAAATATATAACCCATTTCCAATTATCCTACGGTCATCGCGGAGACGTCTTGCATCCTCTTATGAACGTTATGTTACTAGGGTAGTGAAGTCTAGGCGCGTTCATAATGAAGTACCAAGAGTGCTCACTAGATGGTATCCATGTTCCCATGTAGCCTCCTAATGCAATTACGGATCTGTCACCTTCCATTAAAGCGTTTTCTTCCCACTTTCCTCTTATTATCGCTCAACTTGACATGCCCAAGAGCCCAAATTACATATGCCATTCACACCGCTCTTTAAGGATCTGTCACCTTCCATTAAAGCGTTTTCTTCCCACTTTCCTCTTATTACGTAATTAATGAACACATATATTTGAGAAATGTGGAATTATGATGTTCTGATTGCAGAATCTGATTCTGCGACAAATTATATGTCCAGGTTTAGTGTGAGCGCATAGAAGTCTAGGCGATTGGAGACATGTAGAGCACACACAAAAATAACCTGAAGTGATCCATTCACAAATCTTCTAAGAGAGGAGCTGAGAGAATTTATCCTCGTTTTGCAAACCAGTTAGGCATACAAGGCTTTGGTGCTGTTTGCAGAACTGAAGAGGACCCATTCTCTCAAACTTCTCAGTACTCTGTGGGTACTGACCTATAGATACTGAAGAGGATTTATCCTCTTTTGTATATGTAGTTCATCATCCATAGGTCATGCGATTCATTTTGATGAATTTACCTCTACTTGATCCGTGGGGAAACCCAATCACGAGGGACTCATTGAGGAATGTGGAATGAATGTTGCCATCAATATTGTTTCAACATTCCGTTTCAATGTTGAAACAATGTTGACAAAAATGACATCTTCACATTGAATCAATGTGGCACCTCAATGTTGTTTCAACATTATAAATGTTGCCATGAAACATTGTTTCATTGTTGTTTCCACATGAATGTGTTACCTGGGGAGCTACCACAAAATAGGCCATGTAGGCGTAGCAAAGTTGGACAGGATAGACCTTACAGTATACTGAAACGTTCTGCACCTGAAACTGTTGACTAACTGTGAATCTCTTCCAGATCCATGCACTTCAAATTTGAAAAAGACGTGGAATTCATGGATATTCCAGGAAAGCGCTTCATTATTCACCCTAACTCTGTCGCATCTGAAGTAGTACTTCCCGAAAACGAATGCTTCTGTGTCGAAGGCGATTGTCTTGGAGCGGGACTCCTGGAGGTTTCCAAATGTCTTCACGGTACTTAAAGATTTATTTATTTAGCGACGGAAAATGGTGAAAACTTCAGCAGACATAAGTAGTGAATGTTTGCATGTGCAGGGAAACCCGTCGTGATGTCCAGTCCCCATTTCTACGTTCCCGAAGAAGCTGGAGACTCTGGGTTCAATGAATCCCTCATTCACGGAATATCACCCTCGAAGGAGGCACACGAAACCATCGTCGACATAGAGCCGGTTTGGAGTGCCGCACAACTTGATTGCATAACTTTTGATTCATATTGAATTAATCTGCAGAATAACTTTCATCACCTTTCAGATCACCGGCGTCATCATCCGAGCCGCCAAGAGGCTCCAGGCCAATATTAAAGTGCGAAAAGTTCCAGATTTCAATACATTCGAAAATTTCCCTTCCATGGAATTACCTGTTTTCTGGGTGGAAGAGGTGAGTGGAAACTGAAACAAATAACGAGAAAATTACTTCATGTCTGCAATATTTGATAAGCATGCATTTTGTATATGTGTGTAATCTTTTCAGAGTGCCAAACTGGACGAGGAATCTGGGAAAAAATTGTACGATAAAGTGTTGGGAACACAAAAATACATGACCATTGGTTCCTGGGTGGCTTTTGGGCTTGGGATCGTCCTCATGATAGCCGGTGGGATCTGGGCCATTGGGAGCCGGAACAGGGAATAAATTGCTCTCCGCTTCTCTCCAAAAGTGAGAGGCAGCAAAAAGCAAATTATATAACTCTAGTGAACAGTTCTTGTCGAATGAACAGTTCTTGTGAAGAGCATATTTAACAGGAAGCACTGCTATTTATGGAACCACAAATTCTTGAATAAATAAAAGAGATGGCTATCCGATTGGTTTGTTTCATCGATATGGCTAATGGGTGACAAAAGTCTTAGGTGACCCAATGTTTGGCATAGCAAGGTAGCAATAATAAGGAAAGAACGACCGAAGAATTCACATAATCATTCACGATATCCCATATGAGTGACCTGAGAGACCTCTTCAAACCTCTCTATGAGCTCTATTGTCGGATACTTAGCTTCACTTTTCATTCCAGAAAATCTGTGGTACATCTGATCTCGATCAAACCACGCCCCCTTTTCTCGAGATATTTCCCTCCTACATGGACGTACTTGTCCCATCGCTTTGGCAATACCTGGATGTTAGAGGCATTACAATACTCATGGTCGAGTGCACTGCCCCTTCATAACTTTGTCTTTACCCATATATTATTCGTTGGAGATGATAACGGAATGTCACCATTGCATGCTCAAGAGCTTTAAGCGTAAAGTGATGAATCCACTCGTCCAATTGCGATTGAGGAAGTTGTCTTTCTCTTCGTTATAGTGGTTGAGATGGTCCGACGTTTCAGTCACTCGGTTGGCCTTCTGGTCGAATGTCTGTTCTCTTGGCACCCATCTCGCAGTCACCTTTTCATACTTAGAGTGAGTGTGGATTGTGTTTTCGACACTGCCAATACTGATATTAAGTTCCGCTGAAAATTTTCGCACTGTAACGTAACGATTTTCCAGATTCTTTTTTTATTCAAAAAGATTAATTTCCAAATTCATTTACCGGATATTCCCTAGATTCACAGCAGCCACGAGCGGATGGCCATGCTCAAGGTCTGTCAAGGATTCTTGGCCATCTTGAAATTTCTTGCATCAATCAAGTAAACTTCTCCACGAGTACTCCCCAAACTGTACTTGTGATATTTGGAAAGTATCAGCCGCCTTCGGGTTCAATTTCACGTGAGATTTTATTTTGCAATGCCGTTCAACAGCAGAGGATACACCATCAGACGCCATGTTCTTCACACTCATTTCCTCATTCGCAGTGGTTGCCGGTCTTGGCGTTGATCACATAGAAGATTGGGGTTATCTGTTATATTTGGTTTCAGGTTCTTTTCTACCCTATTGATTTTCTAAAAACTCGTAGCTTATGAATGTCAATGCATGTGAAACTACGATCTCGCGTCATAAATATATCAGTGTGCAAAAGAAAGAATCCATGTGGATGATCAAATTAACTTTCGCCTTCACGTTGAACTTCGATAAAGAGTGTTTCCATGGCATAATGCAAAATCTACCTTCCAGCTTTTTCTTAAGCCGTACAAGGAAACACTGGCGATTCAAGAGTGATGAAGCCCCTTCAAGTGGTATCCAAATAGTATGCAAATTTGCAATTTGATGAAAGAATAGTGAACATTTTCCAGTTCAGTGAGCTCCGTGTGAAGCTAAAGATAATGTTGGTGGCTCTCTAAACCAACGCCACCCGAATATTACAAGTCGCCGACGTTTCCGTCTTCCGACCCTTGAAGGCCAACTGGAAGGCAGCACTTGGAAACTAAAGTCAGTGGCATGTAGCACATCCCAACCAGGTCGTCACGAAGAAACTTTGCTAGAGTGATCAAGGTCGCTATGGGATGCGTAACTATACCCTTCATACAGAACGGCTTCCTCGCATGTGGAATATTCCCATGGAACCCTGTCGATGTAGATTACACGAAGTGCCTTGCTGTCAATGATGCACCCATCTCCATCTCCTCTCTGACCTTGAAAGACTTCCGTGAACGACTGACATCAACCCTTGAACTAGGAACACGTCCAGAGTCCATGGATGAGGTTTGGAAGGCGATGGAGAACCTACAGTATATCATCGTTTCGTAGGCACAAGTATGGTAGGTATCCACCCGTTCCTCTCCCTCAGCAGCAAAGTCAAACTTCTGCATCCCCTCTGTACGCCGAGATCGGAGAAGTTCCAGAGGAAGTCGACTTGGAAGCTCTAGAAAGGCCTGCGGAGCTGCAGGATTACTTGGTCTGGCCTGGAACTCCGAAAAGGAAAGGCGTCCGGAAGACGGATAGGTTTCCTCGGACGATGTCAAGTGGAAAATGGAAAAATATGTTCCAGGAGAAAGAAAGATAGAAGAAACGATTGGAACAAGAAGAAGAGAGCAAGAAGGTCACAGAGGCAAAGAGAGCTGAAAAACAGAGAAAACAAGAAAAGGACGAAGAAGGGAAAGTAGAGACAGTGCGAGGTAGAGAGTGGAGGAAGGGGACTTTCATCCGATTTCGAGGAAAATTTCCATGAAGAATGGCATGGGCCTACCTTCGATGAACGTCGAACGGAAAGAAATAGGATTCCTCAATTGCGCTTCCTTTTCCTTCTTTTCTTGAGGGAATAAATGTTTCATTTTGAAAAGGCTTGTGGCCAACAACTGGCGTAAAGTGACCAACAACTGGGTTTTTCGTGACATTATTACAATTTTGTTTATATGTAATGATGCTACAGGAATGAAGGAAAATTAATGATACTAGAGTACTTGTATCTTACTTCACTATCCCTGAAGCTAAAAGAATCGTCTCACCAGTTTGCCTCATATCCAGTAGAGCCATTGCAATCTCGGCAAAAGGCTTAAGTGACCAAAAACTGGGGTTTTTGCCCTACATTTGATGCATATGATATATGATTCAAACGATAGATGTTTCAATATATTTTCATTTTGGAAATTTTCAGTGGTGTCTATTAGGCCAAAACAAAGATGGACCCCAACAAAAGAAAGCAGTGAAATCGTGCAACTAAAGCTCATAAATACTGTACCATAATCCTTCTGAAATTCGCAATTCCATCTTGAGTTTCCCTTATTCTGTTTCATGGGTGACCTTAATATCAGACCGAAGACAAGGAACTGCAAATTTAATTTGATAATTTGGGAGTACATTTTTGGCGAAGAGAAAATTAAGAAATTTCTTTACTTTCGTTCCAAATGTCTCAGTTCCTGATACGTCGACCATAATGACAATTCATTAGAGGTCTCCAAACCTGAGGAAGTCAATCGGCGGACCTATGACAACTTAGATATGCTGAAACAGGTCATTAGAGACGCCTCCACCACTGTAGGACCATGATTGAAAGTAATCTGCTGGCATTCAAAGAGAGACTGCGCTAAGTCATTCAAAATCGTGTTAATTTATATCGAGCACTTGAGATTTTGGTTCTTTCATTTGTAAGGATTTAATTTCATTTCAATTTTATCGGCAACGATGCGGTTTTCCAAAATAATAATGTGTTTAATTTGCTAGAATTTGGGTCATATATTGCTGAAATCGGATATCTAATTCCAAAGCAACATGATTTTACTTTTGGGGGGGGGGGGGGGACTATTGTGGACCAACCTGTTCAGGATGCGTTGTATTTTTCATAAAATCCAGTCCATAATACCAGATGGTATAAATACGAATGACAAATCCTGCAATGCAATGAGTTTGTATGTTTATGTGGTGATAGCAGATCCTCATCATTACCCTTAAGTTTCAAGCCTCAGTTCAACACCTTTCCCATTGAATTCGAATCCGACATCCGTGCATGGAATGTGTCATACATGGGCGTCGATATCGCCTAAAAAAGTGCGGTGTCCAAAGAGAAAAAAAAATTCCGACTGAATGATGCCGACTTCATGAAAACTGGACATTCTTATGCCTTGGTGAGTACGCTAGGAAGATGCTATTTGAATTGAGCAGGTACAGTAATAACTTTTCATTCACTATGAAACGTAAAAAAACGTTTAAAGATTAATTCAAGTCAATAGTAAAATATACTTTTCTGAAGATGGAGCTTAATAGTCCTAAAGCATTTAATTATTACCTGCACAAGTCGATGACGAATACGTAGAGAAGATTATTCGTGTCCAGGTATGGAGGGAAGAGTGTGCCATCAGTGCCATTGATGGAATTACACGCGTCCGTACTCCAAGGCCTCATGTAGAGCTTGTCTTGGTAATGATATAGATGGATTCTTCCAAAATCTGACGAGTCCATTTCCCCGGTTCCAATGAGATATGGCCCATCCGGGTTACTTTCATTCATCTATGCAGATATGTTAATTGGTGGAAAATCGATATCATTAATAAATTCAGCTCATTTTACCTGATGTATTCACTCAAATCTGAATCCCCTCGATGGGATAGACAATCTGGGAGTTTCATTTTTAATTGGAAATTTTATGCTTGTATGTGCCTGGACAATTGAAAATAAGACAGGAAGCCGCTATGACGAGAACACCTTCACCTGTTATGTTGATGATAGTTAGCATCCTTGTCCCCATAGAGAAATTCCAGAAATGAATCTGAACGAAACAGGATATTTATCGTTAACATGCATTTTTTTGCATATCTCTGCTTCAAGTTTTCCTTCTCTAATGGCTCCATGGAGTGGTGCCATTCCTCGGTTGACCTCGTACCCAATTATCAGGATGCACAAATAAGGAAATAGTGCAGCCAAAATTGCCCCTATAGCCTCCCCCCTACAATAGAATGGAAGAAGAGGGATGCCACCAAGGAGTTGAGCGAAGCTAGTCAATCCTATGAGAAGAAAATCCTCATCAACAAGATTTTTCCAATCTATCCTAAGAACACCAGTTCCCCCTAAGTTTCGCAAAGGTCCATAGGACATCCATCAGTGATACATTCTAAGACCGTTCCAAGGAGAAGACATCGTGATGTCTTTGAGATGTTGGGACGCTCGGATGAAAACTGAACGTTTCCAGGATCATCCTCATGCCACTAGGGCATGTTCTGACATTCTTGCTGGACGCAGATGACGCATTTCCTGTTTCTTCATGGCATACACCAAAGTCTTTAGATTCATCTGAAGATGAAATTCCAATATATTTTTTTCTGTCAAATATGGTGGCCGCTCATTAGTGCCTCGGTGACAGATACGTGATTTCGAAAATCACCCATCTATGTAAAACCAAAATGCATAAATTCTTGTGTTCTGACTTGTAGAGTAACCTGCAGAAAGGAAAAAGCTCCTGGGACTTTTGCTTATTGCATTGGATGGGGTTATTAGGATCAGTGCTAGTGTCATCCTACTCATTTCAACAGTCTAGAATTGTCCAGATTCAGACCTGTTTTTACGAAAATCAATTGCAATCCAAATGCAAGTATTTGGAACCAATAACACTCTATTATGAATGTAATAATTGCTGCTGATGTCAAATTCATAATATAACTCTTGAAATTAAATTTATATTAAATTCATATGCTAATAACATGCCTCGGGATTTTATTAATACAATTGGTTACATAATACAATAATAATTATTAATAATTAATACATAATACAATTGGTATATCTATAGTTGTATTCAAATGCAACAAGAATACAATGATGGATATTATCTCAGGCAAGTTTTGACTCAGATTGGTAAGATACTTTTACCCAGAGGTCACAAACTCGTTTCGGTGTGCTGGCCGCATCGTCAATATCGGACCTCTCTGCTAACGAAAGAGTAAAATCGTGTTATGGATGATCTAAGACTGCTTTGCATTGTGCATATTGGGCCTGAAACGTTTCTTTCTCGTCGTGCGCAGGTGGGTCACGAACCGTATTGAGAGCTTCTGCTGGTCGTGAGTTTGAGACCCATCTGCATCATCCTGGGTTCAGTTCTATTAATTTGTTTTCCCAAGCATGCACCCAGCACATATCACTGTGTAAATGCGAGAATGTTCCGACCGTCACAAACATTAAACATTTCAATTGACCTCAAGTCGATGTAGTCCATGGTTCACCTACAGACGCTGTCAATAAACAATATTTTCTGACTTAATAGTTCTGCTAGTAATAAGATTTAAGAGCGTTAAGAAAAGAGATGCTATACATTTTCACTCTGATTCGACTCCCAACTCTAGAAGTGGCCAGGACCCACGAGATTGGTCCTCTTTTATGCCCCGTCGTTTTTCTCCTTAATGTGGTGAGACAACGGACTTGGCAGCCAGATGAGTCAGACGAGACAAGACTCCTTACTATACAAGGTTCACATAGGTTCTTTCTCCTTGAGTCATGCTCGATCGATTGCTCAAAGTGGCTCAATGGTGGCTCAAAGTACACTGGCTACTAAGTACGTTTTGGGTGATGTACGCCAAGCGCCCATCATTCTCATCGACAGACGTACTGGTAAGCGCTTTGTGTTCGTCTCTGACCACCACAAATGAACTGGTACGTAGCGCAGCGGCTGTGGTTGTGGTTGATTTTTAAACATTGACCAGCAGAGAGGTCCGATCTTGGCGATGCAGCTCGCACACCTAAATGGGTTTGAGGCCTCTGGGTTAAAGTATCCTCACCCCACCGCGTCAGACCCCTCGTTAAAACCATCCTCCGCAATTGTCAGCAGTATCCAGGAGACACAGGGAAGAATGTGGAGGGGTGGAGATGGCGGAGGGCTCACTTGCTGCAGTGTTCATTTTCACCTCTGTCGATGGAGAGAAAGTAGTCTCAAATACTGGTCAAATGTATTTTTCAGTATCTCCCTTAAATCCCAGATAATGTTTTTGGCAGTCATCACTTGAGTTCACATGGTGGGAAGGTGTCAGGCTCAGTGCCATATTTTAAAAATATTTCCGGTGTTGAACGTTTTCAAGTTCACGAAATTGGAAATGTCTGTGGATAAGGCTTGTTGAGTGATGGAAGTTGCTCTGTAGAAGCAAACTCACAACAAAGGGGATAGGATAAAACTCTCTCGAAGGGTGGTGGGTGCATTGTAGGGGCAAACTCTCATGTGAACATAGGTATTCAATTCGGGAGTGAGGGGTATGATCTTCTTTTGCCTGCAGTTTGAATTTCATTCAAACTCACAGATTCCCATGATCCCTCCTGGATGAATTTTTGGGAGGAAAGACTTTTCCCTCTTCCTTAGCTACGCCTTGGTCAGGTTAGTTTCTGTTGAAACTTTACTTTCTGTCATCACTAGTACCTAGAGCGCTAATGAATATGCGCCGAATCGGGAGAAGTATGGATTTCGCTCCCAGATTAAGGAGCATATCATTCCGGGCAACTATGCTACAGGATAGCTCAAAAAAGGAGAACTGCTTTCTAAAAGAGATTTCTCCAGGTCCAGCTTACTAACTACTAACTTCTAACTTCTCTAGAACATGGTTAGAATTAGCGTCAGTCTGTCAGTCAGTCACGATCGTCTATATATGTTAGATCCTTAGGATGCCAAGTGGTCATTCCATGTCAAGTGGTCCAATTTTCGCCAGGTTGGTTGCTGCACCGACTGGGATTTTGCTGTTAAAAATCATGCGTACTGGGAGGTAAGAGAAACGGATGAATCCGAAATTTCAGCTGTCTAGGTCCAACGGTCTTTCAGATATGCCCTTTGAAAGTTTGAGAGGAAAGGATAAAATGACCCCTCAAACAAATGCAGTATCTCCCGAACTACTTCAGCTAGAAATATGAATAATAGCTCATTTCAAAGCGAGTAGCCAGGCATCTTTAACTTTCTGTACGGGTTCTTCCGTGCCTTAATTGGAAAACAGTTACAACTTCATTAATTTCATGAAATAATCACATTTTCAATTTAAAAAATTCACAGTAAAAATGCGTATAACGCTACCAGCTTTTGTGTGTCTATCATTCTCTATGAGACTCATCCAAAGATACATGCATTTTGTTTTCAAGTCGCTTCAAAATTCTGCTAAGTGTACAAAATTTGCACATTTTGCCATATCTGTTCAACTTTGCCCTGTAATAACTTTTCTTTGATTCGAAGTACAGTTTTGCTTATGGCATAGAATGATAGATCTATCAAAGCTCTTTTGAGTCATATAAGTTTGATCGTGTTTTTCTGAAATTCTGATCATTGAGAAATTTTTTTCCTTGCCCATCTCGAGACCTCATTCACCATCAAGCGCTGGACTCCACCTCGATCATGTTCGAGCAGGAAAACATATTTGATATGATGTGTTTGACACGGTTTATGAAAGACATATGTTCATTTTAAAAACGTTATGGTGTTTAAAATTGCATTGAAATTTAACTTACTTTGAACACGAAAATTTAAAGATATTGCCGAGCTTTTGAGCATCAACAACATCTTTATATTTCGCTGCCAGTACCTCTTAACGTCTTCATTATATTTGTAAGTGTAACTTGCGAGGAGCTAGAAAAATACCGAGAATAGAATTCCTGGAAAGTAATCCTATCCAATGAAGTAATCCTATCAAAAGTATTCCTATCCAATCAAATAATGAGAACCAAAATCAACCAACTGCCAGTAAATCAATTAGAATTAAAGGCCTATCCAACGATCCGGTTTCAGCGACTGCCCTCAATCTGCCGGAGCCAGCCGTCTCTTAAGAGGAGAGCCTCGCCACCTAAAGTGATTTCGGCCGTGTTCACCTGACTGACGTCATGTCCAGTGCGCCGTTGGCTGTAACTTTAGACCCAAGCAGCCGAATTTAACAAATGACAACAATATACAGTGAAAGAGATTTTGGCTTCATCGTACAATTTTTATGGGAGAGGTCAACCGGTCTCAGAGAAATAGCCTCTAGTAAAATGTTCTAATTTTTGTTTTCTTAGCCCATGCACACAATTACACCATTACATTCGTATATTTAGCACTGTACTACGCATGCAAACAAACAAACCACTCACCCTATAGAATGCGAAATAGAAGTCCCTCATATCTGGAGGTAGCTGCTTATCCCAGAGAGCTGCTGCTTCTTCTGGGGTATAATGCATGTCTTCAATAAGAGCCTTATTGAGCAAGTGAAGAAATGTAATGTTGTATCCTTGGAATAGAATCTCTTCTACTGTTTTTGTGAGAAACGCCACTCCCTGCGGATCCGTATTTAAAAGCATCTCAATCAACCACATGGCTGGCATGAAGTTTGGATCAGTGGCCATTTGTGCAACGACGCCCTATGGGAGGAGACAGACGAAACGACATAAACGAAACGGAGCGAAGTAGACAACAAAGTCAACAATACGCGCGACGTTACATACAGTTCCGTTAGTCTTTTTAAATTTTTATTTCACAAAGTCCTTCATGAGTTGTGCACAGAATTCAATGACATTCGGCAGGCGGGAGGGCCATGTAAAGAAAAGAAAAGAAAGAAAATAAAAATTCAATACTACAATTCCTCCTGCAGGAAACTTAACACCTTTTCAAATTAGAAAAAAATATGGAAATTCGTCTGAAGCACAAATTTGTAGCTGCAACAATGATGCAAATGTAGAATTTCGCAATACAAGAAGCACATTTTCGATCGACTTTTCCACTTGAAAATACGTATTTCTCGTTGAAACTATGCAGGGCTGGCACCAATCGTCCATGTAGATTTTCGGCTTGCTGATAATAATTACAATAAATGCTTTCCCTGACTCTTCATAAGGTTTCCAAGAACATTTAGAGCAGCAAAGAACTTCGCCATGTAATTGTACGCCTTGGAATTTTTTTTCCATAAAGCGAATTTTTATATTTCGAGTTTCAGTACTTGACCTCGCTATCGAATTTCAGCCCTCGAGTCTTCACGGTTCAAGAATATTTTCAACATCAAGGCAAAGTCACTTTTATCTAATGGGTGAGAGTATGCTTGTATTTCCCACTTCTGTTTAGAAGTACTGGAAGAAAGTATTGGAAGAGAAAATATTGTGTCCAAAATGTCTGAACGGACCTCCACGGCGAAAAGTAATTTAGGTTCGTCGCAACTTTTCCATAAACGAACAGAAAATGAATAAACGACTCTTTTGCGAAGACCTACTTAATAAAACTCAGCTAAGGAAGTCTAAATGTTGTGAATTCCCTGCGATGAATCGCAAATTCTTTGGTCGCGTCGAAATCATGATTATGAAAATTCACAGCTCTGACATGAAACCAGCTCTAAAAGGCGAAAAATTGAGATGAGGTATCTTACCAAGAGGGGAGCATTGAAGAAAGTGATCAACTCGCTTTGATCGCCAATCGAGTCTTCCTTTCTGAAAAAAAACCTCGTCGTTTCATAATATTCCAATGTGCCGTTGGGAAACCTCCGTGTTACATTCTTCGTAATGACTTCCCTAGAGGATGGAGAGAGAAAAAGGGAGCCATCAGCATTGAGGTCTCAGCAGAGAATGTTGGAGGGGATGCTGGCATCCTTCCTTCATTACTCGAATACGTAGGGACCGATTTCTTCCAGTTCCAAAGGCGCCCCGGCGAGAAATTCTTCGGAATTGGTGATGTTGAAGAACCAGAATTTCATGTCGATCCTGATAGGAGGATGCAGCCAGTTTTCCATCGCTTCCGTTCCCTCCACGAGCTGAATTTCCTGTGGAAGGATTAACAATAATTTTGAATCTTCGATCTCATGTACTTATCTGATTACCGAACTTAATCAAGGAGATTCCTCTTACCTTATAGACTTGATTTTCAAAGACTTTTGGCCCAATGATGAAGTTGAAGAGAAGTCCTAGTATGGCGATAACCACGCTGGTTACCACTAAGATATAGGGGCACCATCGCCTAATAGCGCTCATTTTAATTGCTTCAGGAAACGATCTTCAACTGAAAAGGTTGAAAATGATGTTGATGTTCCTACATTGAAGAAAAGACACTCGTTTTACCCTTTCAACTTGAAATCGATTGGGACCGGCAAGCATTTAATGAGCGAAATCCGCTCTGAGATCGAGGTTGGCTGCTTGAGGAAGGAAAACCTTTTTGAGGTAAACCGTGTCTGTCTCAGCCCTGTACCCGCCTTGATCGAAACTTCTTCATCAAAACTTGCCAAAAATTTAGATTTCTGATCAATTTAAGAGTAACTTACATTCATTCACGAGACAGTTGTGCTGAAGAATAGGATTTAACCCGATGTAGCTAGGAAATGGTAACTATGACAATTAATATAGTAACTAATTGTGGTTGCATTTAACAAAGATACCAGAAAAAAGACAGAGTATTATGGCGGGCAAGCACAGATTCCCACACCAGTAATTATTTTTTTTTCTGACAGGTGTTTACTTTCTAGGATGTGTTTTCCGCATTTAGTACAAGTTTGAAACGCGTTTTTTAATCGATATATGTATCGTGATTATTTCATTTATCAGCCTTCTCAAGTTACAAACCAGCGCAAGAGTTACATATCCGAGCTAAAACAGAGAGGTAAGAGCATTAAGGAAAAGGTTAGCCCTCTCCTGTCCGATCCCGATCCTCAGCCTTCATTGATTGATCATTCGGAAGTAATTCCAAACCCAATTCAAACTGCAAAGAATTAGTCACTCTGGAGTATGCAGTGCTGACGGTAGCCTCCTCTATCTAAAGAGTTCTTACTATTTCTTTAGGACTATGCTGGTTTAGGGTTTATTCCCTTTGTTGAGATTGACTTAGTAAATGTTTTCCAATTGTAGGCCTGTGCAACATCTGCTCCTTATGGGAAGGCAAACCTTACCCTTATGGTACTAATGAGAATATGACATGCTAGATGTGAGCTTTAAGGGAAGAACTACTTTCCCTCAGCACTGAACAGCCTCCAGAAATGAACTGAGATCTCGATCTCAGGAGCCACGATGCCGAGGAAACGACCGGGAATTCCTCCACGTTGCATGCTGATGCACTTGAGATTGCACTAGTGGATCACGCCACTATGTTCTTATCGTCAGGCCGAAACTACTATTGGTGGGCTTATCTTATACTATATTTTAAGTCGGTCTTATCTAACCTTCCCCCCCCCCCCCCCCCCAGTGCTTCGCCGCTAATAGAGGTTCTCTGGAAACTAAAGTTGCACCTTAGGAGAGTAGTTGGTTTTTGCCCCTGGCCCTTTGCCCCTTGCAAACCTTAGTTTTTGCCCCTTGCAATGACACGATGTTGCTCTTCCAGTAATTAGATGTAATTCGATGAGTAAGATGGATCTGAGTTTTTCAGTTTCTTTTTATAAACGTTTCTATCCACTAAAACTGCTGTAATGACTCATCCTGTAGGTCCAGAGGCAGGCACCATCCTTAATGCGAAGGATGGTGCCTAATGAAGTTCATAGCTTGTAATTGGTGAATTTGCTTTGGCTGAAACTTTGTCACAATAAATGCTAAACAGACATTTAAATATTGTGAAAATTTTGTCTAGTTTGCTCAAGTAGGAAGAATTTCATACGCGATTAAAATCGTCCACGATAAGTGGGACACCCCTGTAGATGTAGAAGGGAGACAATGCGTGTCAGCGTTACCTTTTCTTCCTATCTCGGAGACAACACTCACTGCCACGCCGAGGTCGTTTCACGAATGTTTTCCACACAGCGATGCGTTCGAACATAAAAGCAAAATCTACGCTTACTGCCTTACTGCGTTCAATGCATGTCCCCCTGGTGTAGGACGAGAGCATCCCTTCTTGATAAGGATTATCGGACAAATTTCCATACATGCCTTCCATTTCGTTGGGCATCAATCTATCTAGGGCAGGGGTGCCCAAAGTGCGGCCCTCCAAGGGCTTTCGTGCGGCCCGCGAGGAGTTTTGGAAAACAAATAAATTTGTTATGATGATGTAAATGAATGAACGATTTTAGTGCTACGGAATGAACGACTAGGTTTAAATTCTCGTACAGTCTATTCCCGGTCAAAATTCTCGGATATGGAATCATCCTGACACTTTCATCGGGTAAACATGAGGCGCATAGCTGGACTTCACATCCAGGTGCGATCTGTGAGGGCGAGAGAATACGCAGGACTGCCAGATTCTGCTGAAAATATGCGTTGCACGCATCATTCCAGAGAGCTACTTTGCATTTTTTCATGCAAAAATATCTCTGATAAATTCATGCTGTCAGATTCCTCCCAATGGCCGCTACGGCATCGCAAACATACCGCAGTAGGAGATTCACATCAAGATAATGTTTAAGATTTCATGGCACCTTCTGACATCCCTACCTATTTCTACAATCCCATCTGGAAGGAGTGAAGGGAGAATAGGAGCAAAAACCTGGACTATATTGCACCAGCCTCTTCCGTAGGGCTTGCACTGTATGTCATCAGTCTCTCAAAGGACAAACGAACAGGGACAATGTTGTTGAAACCGTTCATTCCATGAAGAATGGGATTATCAGTCGAGCCGATACCAAGCGACAGTGTGGATGTGCGAATTACACTTTGGGTTCTATTTTTCTGTGGCAATGTCAGCAGAGCGTGAAATACCTCGTATCGATGAAAAAAATCGCATATTTCAACACAAGTGGACTCACGAATACTTTGGGTGACATGCACCAATGGAGGAATCGGAATAGTTTAAAGACGTGATGAACACGTTTACTAAAACATGTTTAAGAAAATGTATCTTTGACATGCCCCATCGAAAATCATATTAGTTTAGTGAACACGTATATCCACGACTTAGACACGTTAAAAGGCGGTATGGGAGCCCTTGCAAAGAGAATGATAATTAGTGTGGCAGCTGCAACTCCATCGTCCGCAGCAAGTCGGCGACGGTGAAAACCTTCGGAATTCGTCTCCATTGAACCATTCAAGAGGATTGAGCCGATCTCTGATGGTTCGACAGTCCTGGCAGTCCAGGCCTGAACCAAACCTGACAGTTTGGTTCAGAATCACGTCAAAAACTCCTATCTCGTCGTTAGTTTCCATTTCCACCGTCGCTGGATGATGAGAGGCAAGATAAAAGAGGCCCACTTCGACGAAACAGCAAGCTGAATTAGGTCAAAACCAGGAAAAATATTTTTATTTGGTATAATATTTACCAGGCAAAAAAGCAAGGTTTTCCAGTTATGCGGCCCCGCTGACCCAAAACTTTGGTCACCCCTGCCCTAAGATAATAATAATAATAAAATCTGAGGGATTGAGATGAGGGTGAGTGTGGGGACCAGTCAACGTCAAAACAGCGACTAATGATTTTCTCACCAAAGTGCTCTGTCGACTCGCGTTAGCCATGTGAGGAGTTGCTCCGTCTTGCTGGAACCACTGTACATTTCTAACAACTCCTCTCTTCCGGCCGAGACTAGTCCAGTCGAATGGCACATGATGTTGAATGGACAATGGTCGAATGGGCACGATGTTGATTGTTACAATACCGAAGGCGTCAAAACGTGGAAAAACGTGGAATCTTCGAAATGTCATAATCCGGTCATTCCTTTCCGTTCCTTGGACCCTGATATGATCAGGAAAATGAGATTTACTATTTCTTCTTTGCTCCCTTGAGGCAGCAAAGACTACCTTGTCGGTTTTCGCGTTACTTCTTCGACGGACACTTCTCCGCCACTTCCTCGGCTGGACAATCCCTTGAAATGCTTTCTTCGAAATGTCCACTCGAAGAAGCGACATGGAACCGCCTTGTACAACCTATCATCTCTCTGCATCAGTCCGCGTTGGTGGAGACGATTGCATCAGTAAGAAGCGCACTTCCACCCAAATGTGTCAGTCGAATTGGGGCCGTAACCAAGACCACCGTGAGATACGTGCATTCCCAGAAAGGTAGCAGATGTTTTTAAGACTTCATTGACGGAATAAATAAAAGTCCATTTCGACTTTTCTTTCATTCGACATTTTGACTTTCGCCATTTCATTCATTCGACGTTCAGGAATTCGACATAGTCGGTAATCGACAATCGGACTGTCGAAATGCGTTTTCGACATTTTGATGGGATACGCCTGATTTCCGGCTAAAATCCCAGGACCACTTGGCGTGGACAGACCCATTGACTAGTTAGTATTAGTCGTTACAGTATCCCAATATGCGTCATAGAAAAACATGGAGTCATTGGGGCACAAAGTAGGAGGGGGGGGGAAGGTGAATTCATTAGTTTCATTAGGTAAATACTGTATATTACTTTAAGAATGCTTAAATATTCCATAGATTCCACTCCTGTGCACTTTAAGAACCAAATTCATAACCGTAGTTGTCAAGCCAAATTTACAACCATGTTCAATTCTGAATATGGTTGGAACCTACGCAAAGTAAACAGATATATGCGATTTTACTAGATATGTGCAATACTGGAAGTGACCAAAAGTCTTGTCGCCCTTCTGCCATTTAAGAAGACTCGTTTTGGTTGCACAATTGCTTCAGGGCTTGAAGTAATGTCCCTTGACCTGGTCTAGTGATCCACAATATTTTTCAGTCGCATTCTTGTAATCCTGAAGAGAACATCAGCAAACAGTAGTTCATCGGTTCAGAATCAGCAGTTAGAGCAACACCGTGTTGATGGTGCCCATCCAATAGGAAAGAAGACCCAAAGCTCCATTGCGTCCTAGTAAGGGTCCGGTGGATAGGAATAAAACTTACTCAGTTTGTCCAGAGAGCCACCAAAGGAGACTCGATGAAGAATTCGAAATAAAAAGTGGGACAATAAATGTGAAATTCGCGAACGAGAAGGAATGGAACGTAAAAACGTGATAAATGTTGCGGCAAATGCGAGCAAAGGCTTTGTTCCTTTTACTAAATTGCGGGGAAAAGTTGCCGAATGCTTTTTGCCACCACACCACGCGGGACACCCAGTTCCTATCCAGTGGATCACGAGGATTAACTCGAGATATCCCATATCTTGCTTTCTACGAATGACGTGGAGGCACATCCGGTGGACTGAGTTTCATCTCGCATAAACGCCTTCCGCATATCAAAAACGCAACGGCAGGGTTGGAGAGACCAGACGCGAGCATCCAGGAGCATCCGATCGTGGCTGTCCAAGCCACGACTGGACGCAAGCCACGAGGGCTGTATGCCGAATGTAAAACTAATCACCCAGTGCAACGATCCTCATCGAGCTTCTCGTCCGCCGTCGGGAAAGGAGATCGGAAGAAACCGGAGGCGGGAAGGGACTCCCGTCTGTTTCTTGCCTCGAGGCCACGATACCGAGTCGTACCGTAAGATGCAAACACGCGTGGAAGGGCGTTATCGTCCGTATGGCGTTTATATCATTTATCCTGCCAGCGTCGACATCGCGAATCCGTTCCGCCAAGCTGGCGAGTCGACGAAACGTCAGACTCTCTCGATACCTTCCGTCTTCCGGTACCGTTTCCGGACTTGCCGTTGCTCCTGAACCACTCCATGCAAGCCCCTCGAATCGACCTCACGCCCTCGCTCGCCCCCACGCACGAACTAAATCGAACAGATAGGCCACGTCATAGGCACATGACTTTTTAATGTTGCGAACAAGCGACGCCATCCAAGTAACTGCGAAAAAATTCGAGTTCGCGACGGGTGTATACGTTTTATTCCTCAACTCTGTTCATGGACGATTCCCGAAACTGTGTACGTTTTTCAAACTTTAACCCCTTGAACACACATGATGCACCCGTATTCATCATGTAGTAACCATGCAACTGATACACATGACTCCCACTGGAAGCGGAAGTAAAGTCAGAGGTGATGGCATCAAGTAGAGAACTTTAGCAGAAACAAAATATTATTTTCTTTAATACAAAATTCTGGAGTATGAATACAGGTAATTGTCCAATACCTGGTGTGTTCAAGGAGTTAGCGTCCAATTCGTAGTCATCGCGAGATTATCAAAACAAAAATTACGGTTTTCAGAAATTAACGTGCCTTTTACTACATCTACATCCACGAGGGACACAGGCAAACTGGGCAAGCTAAGTCTTGTAATGACTTTAATATTCCCACTGGAAGTACCTCTCGCTAATAATTGAGAGTACTTCGTGCGCAACTGAGGAACGGTGTTTAACTCTCGGGTGCAAGTGCGTGAAAAATTGTGCGCCGAGTCTTCGGAGCTCGTGCGTGAAGTTCGTAGAAAGGTCGAGTAAGGAGCTCTCGCCCTTTCCAAAGTCGAACGTTACCCGGTAAAGTGAATGTTAAACATTGGAAAATGGTGTTAGAACGAGCATTGAGTTCGGACGCAATGCTACCGTGCCCGTCCGAAACCGCCCGACGAAAGGTCGGCCGAAGAGGCTTCATCGCTCTGAGACCCGGACGGACCGCATGCGAGCAGTGGAAACTCTAGAGAGCAGCTGCAGAGAGAAGCGAGAGCAGGAAAGAGAGAGAGAGAGAGAGAGAGAGAGAGAAAGAGAGAGAGAGAGAGAGAGAGAGAGAAAGAGAGAGAGAGAAAGAGAGCAGCCGAAGACGCCGCGGAAGGTTCGGGTGCCAGACGGAGACTCCCGGATGTCAGAGAAGCAGCCTCGCAACATCCGCCAGATCTCGTTCTGCCTCGCGATGGAACGGCCTCCGCATCGGGCTTCCCTCGACGACGTCCCCTGCCGCTTCCGAGCCCATCGCATCGAGCCCATCGCTTGCAACGTCGACGCACCTCGAGGTACGGACGAGGGAACCCACGCGCCCGGAGTCCAGTA